TGGGATTCCCCAATTACGTCCTTCTGTTTCCTTCTTCCTCCCCAAATTACAAACTCAAATGCCTACGAGAGCCAAGAAGGTACTGTAAATACAGGAATTGGGCCAGATGTGAGACAGTAAGAAGTGGCAGGGTTATAGCAAGCTGGAACATACACACTGCCTGAAAGCATTCACATTACTTGAAAACACTGTGCCAGCCACACAAAGCATGTCTGCAGGTGGGTTTAGCCGGTAAACTACTAGTTGGGACCCAGTCTATACACTTTTCCTACAGTACCTCATCCACTGCCAAAACTCCATCTATATGCTGACAGCTCCCACTGCATCATCTCTGGCCCTGACCTCTCCTCCTGGACTCCAGACTCATGCACGCAAATGACTACTCTACATCTCCCAAGCGTCCTCAAAGCATCTCAAAACCATCATGTCCACAACCAAGTTCACTATCTTCATCCTTTCCTCTCCTCCTGACAAAAGCCAGAAGCCTAAAACCAGAAATAACTGCCCTTCTTTGCAGGTCCCCTATCTCAATGAATGGTACCCTCAGTTTTCCTATCTGGAAGCCAGAAACCTTGGGAGTCATTCCAGATTCTTCTCTCGCCCTAGCCTTCCAAATTATCAAATCAATTCAATAGGCATAATAAGCACTTCCTTGAGCACCTCATCAGTACCAGGTGCTATTAGGTGCTAGGACTGACCACAAAGATGGATGATATGCAGCCCCTGCCCTGGAGGGGGAGACAGATAACAATGTCATGATCAGATGTGGCGGTGGTGGTGTGGTGGTAGGAGAAACACCATACAAGATGTTCTGGGATAAGAGAAAGGGCATTCTTTGATTCTATTTCCTAAGTGTTCCTCAAATAATCCCTATTCTCCATCCTCACAGGATTGCCATTTTCAGTGACTGCAACAGTGTTGTAACTGATCTCCACGTTTCCAAGTTCTCTCCTCCAATTCATCTTCCATACTGGGTTAGAACAATCTTTCCAAATAGCAGATCTGGCCATGTCTTTCTCTCATCTTTTGTCTAAAACATTTCAATAATACCCCATGCTATTCAGGATAGAATAAAAATCCTTTCAGAATGACTTGTAAGGTGTCCCAGGATCTGGCCCTGGATGACTTCTCTAGTCCCGTCTTCCAGCATTATAGGACATAACCCTACACCCTGAACATGCCAAACCACTGGCAGCTCTCTGAATACCCTTGTGTGTCTCATGCTCTTGGTTTATGCATTCCCTCTGTCTAAAACACCTGCCCTATCATTTCTCATTTGCCTAATTCCTATGCAATCTTTAAGACTTGGATAAAATATCACCTCCTTCAAAAATCCTTCCCTTACCACTTCACCAAAAAAGATGGCTTCTCCAGGTATTTTCTGTTACACACCCTCCCCTACTCCCTACTGCAGGCTGATAGCAGGGGAGGGAAAGGAACTTCTGAGACATTTTGCCCTTGCTGCTGAAGGGGACCATGACACGTCCTTACCTGGAGGTCGTTGAGAACAGGCAGTGTTCAGAAACCATGGGATTGTGGGGCAGACAGTGAGCAATTCCAGAGGTCAGGAGACCAGAAAAAGGCACAGTTCTTTGGCTCTGGTTGGGCATAGCCTTGAGGAGCTCATGAATATTTCTGGTCCATAGACTACATATTTTGAGGAGCTACTGACATGACCTATCCTACCCACTGACATTTAAAGCACCCACTCCTGCCAAATACAAAACAAAACAAAAACAAACAAAAAAAGAAAGCAAGTTTCAACTAAATGATGGTGAGATACCACTCACTGTTGTACCAATGAAAGGATCATCTCTGGTTTTTACGTTTTTATTTATTTTATTAAAAATTTTTTTTAACGTTTATTCATTTTAAGAGACAGAGAGAGAGCGTGAGTGGGGGAGGGGCAGAGAGAGAAAGACACAATCCAAAGCAGGCTCCAGACTCTGAGCTGTCAGCACAGAGCCTGACGCAGGGCTCAAACTCACCGACCGTGAGATCATGACTTAAGCCAAAGTGAGCCGCTCAACCGACTGAGCCACCCAGGTGCCTCTTTTTTTATTTTTATTTTTTAATTTATTATTATTATTTCTTTAATGTTTATTTATTTTTGAGACAGGGCGTGAGTGGGGGAGCAGCAGAGAGAGAGGGAGACACAGAATCCGAAGCAGGCTCCAAGCTCTGAGCTGTCAGCATGGAGCCTGACACAGAGCTCGAACTCACAAACCATGAGATCATGACCTGTGAGATGAAGTCCGATGCTTAACTGACTGAGCCACCCAGGCGCCCGTTTTTTTTAATTAAATTAAAATTTTTTTTAGGGGCGCCTGGGTGGCGCAGTCGGTTAAGCGTCCGACTTCAACCAGGTCACGATCTCGCGGTCCGTGAGTTCGAGCCCTGCGTCAGGCTCTGGGCTGATGGCTCAGAGCCTGGAGCCTGTTTCCGATTCTGTGTCTCCCTCTCTCTCTGCCCCTCCCCCGTTCATGCTCTGTCTCTCTCTGTCCCAAAAATAAATAAACGTTGAAAAAAAAAATTAAAAAAAAAAATTTTTTTTAGAGAGTGAGTGTGCTCAAGTGGGGGAGGGGCGAAGGGGCGGGGAGAGAGAGAGAGAAAATCCTAACTAAGCATGTTCCATGCTGAGCACAAAGCCTGACATGGGGCTCGATCCCATGACCCTAGGATCATGACCTGAGCCAAAATCAAGAGCCAGACGCTCAACCAACTATGCCACCCAGGCACCCCCATCTCTGGGTTGTTTTTTTTTTTTTTTTTTAATTAAAAAAAAATTTTTTTTAAACGTTTATTTATTTTTGAGACCGAGAGAGACAGAGCATGAACGGGGGAGGGGCCGAGAGAGAGGGAGACACAGAATCGGAAGCATGCTCCAGGCTCTGAGCCATCAGCCCAGAGCCCGACGCAGGGCCCGAACTCACGGACTGTGAGATCGTGACCTGAGCCGAAGTCGGACGCCCAACTGACTGAGCCACCCAGGCGCCCCCCCATCTCTGGGTTTTAAATGCTAGAAGCAGATTATTAGAATGAAAGTCGAGAAGTACTGTAAATAATAATGGTACAGGAGTGGATCCAGAAATCCAAGCCTTCTCTGACCCCCTCAATTTAATTAGGTGTCTCCTTTCTGTACCTTCATGGCATCCTACGCTTTCCTCTACCATTGTGTCAATAATCTATATTATAAGCATTTTGTGTTCATGCCTGACTCCCCTTTCTAGACCGACTTCTAGGCTGGGAATTATATATTACTCTGCATCCTTAATACCTAGCATGGTGCCAGTACATGGAAATGCTTACAAGATACATACCGGGGGAGGGAGTCAAAGGAAGTTTAGGCAGACAGATTTCAAGTGGAGAAGTCTGGTGATAAAGAGGGAGATATACAATGAATCTGTGTGATATCGAGAAAAAAAAATGTCTTTTATTACGTCAGAGACTTGAGGAAATTGTCAAGGAACCGCATAAAGACTTCGTTATAAGAATATGGTTCAGAGCGATGTTGAACCAAATGAGGGTTGCTGGAGGGGTGTTAGGTGGGGGGGATGGGCTAAATGGGGGATGGGCATTAAGGAGGGCACTTGTGGGGATGAGCACTGGGTGTTGTACATGGGTGATGAGTCACTAAATTCTATTCCTGAAATCATTATTACACTATATGTTAACTAATTTGGATCAAAATTAGATTAAAAAAGAACGGGCAGTAAAAGTAGACTTAAAAAAAAAAAAAAAGAAGAAAAAGAAAGAACAGAAAGGACGGTGGTGCTCCTCATCTCCCCTGGATATTCCACTGGAATCTCAAGGTCAGCATTTCCCCCAATGAACTCAACAGCTGCCCCCCAAACTTGTGTTCTCTAGGATAGGAAGTGGTACCCCAGCTGCCTCAAACAGCAGGGGGGCTGTTTTCACTACTCCCTCCACCAGCCACCTAACATCCCCATTTCTCTCCTGCTGACATCTCACCAATCCACCCCTGTCCCATCACTGCCTCCTGAGGGTTGCCCTCCTCATTCCCACCTCCTCTGACCACCCGCCCGTCCCCATTTCAGGTACTGATCTTTCTAAAGCACAAATCCCATGCCACCCCTCCCCCGCCTTGCCTTGAAACCATCGCTGACCTCATCATAAACTCCTTGGCGTGGCATTTGGGGCCTGTTCCAAGCCCAGGGCCTGTACTCCAGGCAGCCCAGATGACCTGCCAGGGAGCCTCCTTCCCTCAGGGTGAGTGCCTTTCCTAGACTCTCTGCCTTGCCAGCTGTTAATGTCCTCTAATAGTCAGCATGGGCAGCACCTCCTCTAGGAAGCCCTTCCTGCCTCCCCGCTCCCATGTGGTTAGATGTCCCTAATCTGCTTGGCTTGCTGGTTCCCTGCAGTCAACCCATTCTCCTGCTTGTCACCCACTCACTGCAAGCTCCTAGGACGCAGTGACCATTTCTTACCACTGTCCCCCAAAGCTGTGCACAAGGCTTGGCAGAGAAGGGGTGCTCAGGGGCTGGGAAAGGGGCAGGGCAAGTCCCCATGGACAGGGTGCAGATGGAGATCTGTGAGGCCTGGTCCGGTCTCCACAGAGGTGGAGGATGTGGGAGGTTTTCTTGCATGCAGAGGGCAGCCCTGCCATGCTGGAACCTGTGCAGGGAGCCCCAGGGATTAAGGCCACATGCTGTGGGAATGCAAGCTGGTGCAGCCACTCTGGAAAACAGTATGGAGGTTCCTCAAAAAATTAAAAATAGAACTACCCTACCACCCAACAATTATACTACTAGGTATTTATCCAAGGGATACAGGTATGCTGTTTCGAAGGAACACATGCACCCCCATGTTTATAGCAGCACTATTGACAATAGCCAGAGTATGGAAAGAGCCAAAATGTCCATCAATGGATGAATGCATAAATAAGATGTGGTATATATCTACAACGGAGTATTACTCGTCAATCAAAAAGAATGAAATCTTGCCATTTGGGGGGCGCCTGGGTGGCGCAGTCGGTTAAGCGTCTGACTTCAGCCAGGTCACGATCTCGCGGTCCGTGAGTTCGAGCCCCGCGTCGGGCTCTGGGCTGATGGCTCAGAGCCTGGAGCCTGTTTCCGAGTCTGTGTCTCCCTCTCTCTCTGCCCCTCCCCCGTTCATGCTCTGTCTCTCTGTCCCAAAAATAAATAAACGTTGAAAATAAAAAATTAAAAAAAAAAAAAAAAAAGAAATCTTGCCATTTGCAACTACATGGATGGAACTGGAGGGTATTACACTAAGTGAAATTAGTCAGAGAAAGACAAAAATCATATGACTTCACTCATAGGACTTTAAGAGACAAAACAGATGAACATAAGGAAAGGGAAACAAAAAAATATAAAAACAGGGAGGGGGACAAAACATAAGATACTCATAAATATGGAGAACAAACTGAGGGTTACTGGAGGGGGTGTGGAAGAGGGAATGGGCTAAATGGGCAAGGGGCATTAAGGAATCTACTCCTGAAATCATTGTTGCACCATATGCTAAGTTGGATGTAAATTAAAAAAAAAATTAAATTAATTAAAAAAATAGACCACATGCTGTACAGACATGCCCAATTCTAGGGGGCTGATGTTGGCTTCGTGATGGAGCCACGCTTTCCCCAAGCCATTCTTCATTCTTTATAGTTTCTGAATTGCAGAAGCAGAAATTGCTCACCCTCAGTCTGAAGCTTTTCGTGACTTGTGCAGAAGAAATGTCATCAACAGCCTTTTGTTTAGGCTTGACTTGGGTGAACGTGCCAAGAAGACTTGCTCAGAAGAGTCTTTTCAGATGTCATTTCTGTCTCCCTAAAACCCTGCTCCATGAAAGCCATTCACAAGCCGGTTTTTCTGCGGCTCCAAAGCTGTCATCCCCTCAGTCCTGCCACAGCCCACAGAGCTACCGTGACACTCACTCGGCAATGGCATGTGCTGTTGGCCCGGGGCGGGGATGCAGCAGTGGGGAGGCTCCCAGCTGAGCGTCTCGCTTTCAACCCGGCCCGAATGCCCCGAGAACCCTGAGGTACAACTTCAACTTACATCCCCTAGATCGTGATCTGGCACCATGCCCACATTTTTCAAAACCATTTTCCCAATGCCCAACACAGGCACTCGATAAATGTGCAATGAGTAAATAAACAAATATGCAACGCTCAATTATTTGAGCTAATTGAGGGAGACCATCAAACTCAGAGTTTTGAGGGGAGAATTATCTAAAAATGAACATATTCTTAGACTTGGGGCGCCTGGGTGGCTCAGTCGGTTGAGCGTCTGACTTCGGCTCGGGTCATGATCTCGCGGTCTGTGTGTTCGAGCCCCGCGTCGGGCTCTGTGCTGACAGCTCAGAGCCTGGAGCCTGCTTCGGATTCTGTGTCTCCCTCTTTCTCTGCCCCTCCCCTGCTCATGCCTCTCTCTCTCTCTCTCTCTCTCTCTCTCTCTCTCTGTGTCAAAAATAAATAAATATTTTTTTAAATTAAAAAAAAAACATATTCTTGGACTCATTTTACTCTTCCCACTGTGGATGCTGGTGGTGTGGCCACTGGGAAGGGAGCCTGGAGTGCTGGGTCCAGCAACACTGTGGGTCTGGACGCAACGTACAGTCAGCAGGACTCACTTCTATCGCCCTCTCCAGGCCAAAGCTAGCTGTGACAGCTGTGCTGGGAATGGACAGAGGCAAGGGAGATGGGAGCTGTCTCCAGCTCATTCCCAGTAAGCGGTGACACAGGGTGAATTAAAGGTGAAAATGAGACCGGGATTAGTGGAGGACTAATCAGAGGGGGGCACTACCAAACGGCGTGTGGAATGTCAGGCAGAGACGCACAAAGGGCTGCGGGAGCCCCAGAGCCCACTCTGCCTGGGGATCCAGGGAAGAGCTTCAAGGAGGAGGCGACATTTGAGTTGGGAGTTTGAGAGGTGGAGAATGTGAGGAGATAGCAGGTGCATGTGGCCAGTCGCCCGGGCTGAGAGCGCACCCCGTCCAGGCCCCTTCTGAGGGGGAGGCTGCCACGAGCAGCTCTTGGAGTAGAGATACCAGGGCATGGAGCCAAGTGATGTGTGGGCGGCTTGCTGAAGCGGAAGTAGTGGTTCTAAAGGCAGAGAGTTTGCAGAAGAGCGTTCCAGGCTGGGGGAACAGCACGCGTACAGCACAAAGGTGAACAAGACCATGGCTTAGTAGGGCGAGGCCACCCGGGGGGGTTACGGCACCAGGAGGCATCAGGTCCCTGGTGCTCTGACAGCTCTGAGAAGCCGTTTTACTAAATTACAAGTTATCAGTTGCGTCTTGTGCGGCTGGAGTCGCCCAGAGCCACACTTCCCGATATGTGGAGGCATTCCTGTATCAACAAATGCCAATCACTTGGGTTTGTATACACAGTCTGTACAAGTCCTGGCGGCTCCCGGCTGAGACGCATTACCGGAAGGTCTCACTGCAAGCTGAAGCAGCCAGGGTATGAGGACAGAACAGCAGCAGCAACTACCACCACTGACCAGGTGCTCCCTGACTGGGTGCTCCCTGACCGGACGCTCACTGACCCAGTGCTCCCCGTCGGTCAGCACCACGCCACAAGCCTCATGGGTGTGAAACTCCCATAACTGCCCATGAGGTGGGACTGTTACCTCACTTTGCACATGAGGGGGCCAAAGCCGACACGACTGTGGAGCTTGTCCAAGGTCACACAGCTAGGTGAGTGGCAAAGCTGGGATTCAAACCCACGTTTGCTTGATACCAAAGCCAACCTCTTTTCACTTGCCCAGAGTGAGGAAGGGGATCCCCGAGCCCCATCCGGTCGTTGCTAAGATAGCATGAATGAGCGGCTGTGAACCCGGCACGGGCACTGACAAGGCCCCGACCTCAAGGGATCGCTGACCCAGTGGTGAAGTCAGGTGGTAAAGATGCCCCTCCCCACATCCCCTGCCCAACTTCACCCCAGCACTGAGTGACGACAGTCGGAATACGGTTGGACCATTGCTGTCCCAGCTACAAGGCTCTCTGCTTCCTGAAACCCAGGCCCACCCTCAGAATAAGGGCTGAAGTATAGCCAGTAGTTCGTCCAATCATGGCCCGGGAAGAAAATGAGCAACCTCTGGCTTGAGGGAGCATGGTGGCTGCAGCCATGGAGCCCATGTCCTTGCCCTCTCTCTCTGCCTGCATCCGGCCCCCAAGCCCCATCTAGAAGGGGTTCGTGGCTGGATGAGGACATGGCCTGCTACTCACAGGGGTGGGCCCTGGGGCTCCGGATGCAGGGCAGAGAAAGGCCAGTCCCTTCTTTCTTCAGCAAGTGCTCCTTCATGGAGTGGGAGTCCCAGCAGAGATGGATGGAGCCAGGCTCACTCCTGAACCTGCACCCTGTATCAGCTGTGCCTGTGCTGACAGCTCTCCTTGGCCGGACCGCAGCCCCCAAACCCTTTGTTTCCTCCTCATAATTTGAGCGGCAAAAGAATGCATTTTCACGAGGGTCAGTGACTCTGCTGGGGGCTGCTGGTGACAGGGCTGGGTCAAAGGCCCAAATGTCCCGATGAGCAGTCCTCCCCCGTAGCCTCGAGCACTGGGGCATGGTTTGCTGTGCTCTGCCCTGCCGCCTCTTACATTGCTCTTCATTCAACTTCGGGAAGACTGGGCCACCCGCAGGACTGGCTACACCAGAGGAAGCTGCTGGCCGTATTAAAACAAGGTCACTCAGGAAAGGATTCTTTCCATCAGGGGAACCACGTGGGCTCACAGGACCTAATCAAACCAGTGGCCATTCTCACTGCATCCTCCCAAGGAGTAAAGAGTGGAGACAAGCCCATTGAGGGGGAAGGGATACCCCTAAATTTCAGGGGCATCTGAGTATGCAACAGCTTCTGAGCAGGAAGAGAAAGGAGCGGCGTATAGGCAGTGGCTTAGAGAGGATCCTCAGGGCAAACACACGGCTGGGCAAAGTCCCGCCCTTAATCCCCCTTGCGGGTCCTGGGGGTGTGCAGGAGGGCTGATAGGGCAGACAGGGAATCAGGTGGAGATGGCTTTACCAGGCCAGAACTGATCAGAGCCACCCTCGGATGCATGGGAGCAAGGCCAGTGGGGATAGCCGGCACAGACTCATCCCTAACTAGGCCCCACGGAGCTGGTTTCTGAGCCCAGGCTCCATGCACCATTGCCTTGCCCCACGTGGGGGGCTTGTTCCATTTGGGGGTATGCTTCTTGGGCAAGCTCTGCAGCTGGCTTCTGGCCCAGCCCCTCCTTCTCGAGGGGCTGAGCAACAGTGCAAGATGTCCTTTTGTTTCTTCCAACTATTCCAAACTGTGTTCTCAAGTGGTCCTGCTGCAGGGAAGTTCCTCATACTAAGCCCCCGGAACACAGGGAAGGGGGGTGGGTCTGTCCCAACACGAGAGGCACAGAGATGTCACAGAGCCAGCTGTCAACAGACCTGCCTTTGTGACGCTGCCAGGAGTCAGGCTTGTGTTTTCCCCATCAGGGTCTCCCAAGAGCAGAGACCGTGTTGGCCGATATTCTCCACATCATCTCAGACAATCTCGTCCACCCTCTGAGGTTCGTGTATGAATCATCTCCAGGGTTTTCCCTCCAGCCCGGACCTCTCCCTTGAGTGATCCACTGTGCTCCTGTGCAGAGCTGTGGCTTCCCTCTGGCTACTTCACTCGCCCAGCCCAGACTCCACACACAGAATTGGGGCAGAGAGTAGAAAGCTCTCGTGCCAGAAGGCAGGCATGGACTGGTGTCTTGCATCCACCTGGGGGAGGTGAGGCTTCAGCCCTGCTTCTCCCCTCTAGCTCTGGTCCCACAATGACCACTCCCATCCCCCGAAGTGCAGACAGAGTAGGGAGAGCAGGACCGAGTCCTGAAAATGCCAGCACCCTCCTCTCTGCCCACCTTCTGCCTGGGCCCTGGGACGTGTGTGGGTGGAGCTCGGACTGGAACCTTCCCTCTGGCTGCAGAGCCGCAGAGACGGAGCCCTGCAGGGCCGTTCCTGGCCTGGAGCCTCTCTCCTTGGGAGAAGGGCCAGGATTACGTTTTGTACTTTCACCAGCTGTTGCAGC